GCGGTAATCTTGCTTGGTGAATTTTATGACTAACGTCATTAAGAGTTAATATGGGTTCTAACTGTTAGAATTAGGTATTCATGCATTTACTTATTTGACTTGTTCACCAAGTTCAGGGAGGGCTGTCTTTTACAGTTCTCTGGTTTTATAGCTTTCTTCGCTGACGGGTGACCGATTGTCACACCATCAGTTTCGTTTCTGAGGGCGACAATCCGAACAGTCGCTATCATGGAATGTACGACAAAACGAGATCATTTGATCTGGTGCTTTGCCGTTGCATGAAAGCATACCAGGGCCGTATGCAGCAGAATTTCCACCAAAGGTATCCCTACTCTTTCCCATAATGTTTCGATGGCGCTCGGGACATTGGTGTGAATTGTTCCCTTCGTTGAAAGCGCGCCATGCTGTCGAAACCAATCCTTCACAGTGAAGGTGCGATGCTTTTGGTCGCTCTATAGCTAGAAGGCGAACTCAGTCACGTACAGTTTCATACGAGCGGATACGAAACTCCTTCTAGAATCTATCTGATACGTCGGCATTCACCACTTCTCTAATCCTGTGCAGTTGTAAAACTTCTTTTACGGACTACCACACGCGAGCCTCCGCCAAGTTTTACATACGGCAGTTAATTCCTTGGATCGAAACGTTTTCCTCAGGACCGCACACATTCCTATTTCAGTCGCCGGCAAACATCTTGAATTACTCTCGTTGGTCCGCAGGACGTTGTAGCCCTATGGGGATCCCCACTTTAGGTGTGCGTAAGCCCATTTCGCCCCCGACCAGTTCACCGCCGACTAACTTCGCAGTATTCGCAATCATGTGAAGGCAGCCTATACAGTTGGGTTCTAGAAGGAGCTCTTATCCACTGTATGAAACTGTACGCGACTGAGTTCGCCTTCTAGCATTAGTGCGACCAAAAGCATCGCACCTTCACTGTGAAGGATTGGTTTCGACAGCATGGCGCGCTTTCAACGAAGGGAACAATTCACACCAATGTCCCGAGCGCCATCGAAACATTATGGGAAAGAGTAGGGATACCTTTGGTGGAAATAAGAGCCGGGAATATGGGCGAGAAACTCGTCAAATTTCAAGAGAAGTGGAGGAAGCTGCCCTAGTAGACAGTGCATTCAATGACTGATTCCTTACTTAGGCCTTGTTAGTATTTCAGCGAACCCAGAAGATCATTAACAAAGTATTGGACCTGCCCAGTGTTATTCATCATGCGTAAGATTGTTTTGTTGAATTGTAAGCTTGCTAGAGTAATTTGAAACCTACTTGGAATTTGCTCATACGCGAGAATTTCTAGTGAAATGATTTTTTCCATTCTTAATTCTTTCTCAATCCGAAACAAATATGCCGTTTAAGTGAAGTAGGACTATCTCTAAAACATATTAAAATTTGAATTGATTTGATTCAGCGGAAAAAAGTTACAGTCGAAAAACAATTTCGGCGAAGACTTTTGACCGCTACTGTGTAAGTGTGAGTCAGTATACCGTGCGGGGGTACTCCTCCAGCCGCAAAATGCAGAGCTGCGCACAACCCTGCCTCTACGTGCTTGAATGTCCTGCTCAAGCAGTTTTATAAAAATGTCCTTATTTCTAGGTATGGACAGCAATATTTCGCCACCCAGGTCTATCAAAGCTCACAAATGATGAAATTTTTGTATGGTTTATTGAAGTAACAGAATCCGGGTGAGAGAGCACCTTTGCTGAAAAGAAACCGAAGTTCCGAGGAATTTGTATGTAATAACAGCGTAACGACACGATGTTCGAAAAAATATCATATCACCTACGCTTTCTTTCAAAGTTGACTGGAGACTTTTGCTAATGGAAGCTGACAACGGAGTTGGATGTTCCTCCTCGAAACTGTAAAAAATCAAATAACTTGAAAAACTGAGTTGCTGTCGAAGGCTGTGAAAAGCTGAATTTCAGCAAAATCTACTGCACTTCAGCGCAAACCACCGAACGCCCACGAGAAGATGTGTCGATGTCTGTCTAGAAAACAAAAAGGCACAATGGTGGAGGTGATGACCGACTTGTGAAAAAGTGCTGTTCGGGAAGAGCCGAGCTCGATGTCATAATCGTTGAAGTAGTGATTATCCGTTGGTTCAACATCGATTGCCTGAAATGTGACTCGAAAAGTTGTCTAAGCGAGCACACTCACCCAAATATCAACAATTAAAAATAAGTTTGTGCTAACAGACTTGATTAGTCAGCTAATGAGTGATTCACTCAAATAACTGCTCTGGTTTTTTCTTCAATATCTTTTTTTTGTGAAAGTTCTCTCCATTCTTTGATGTTGTAATTGTGTTTTTACCTCTGCCTCGAGGTTATTAGGTGGTAAATTTCTATTCTGGCCAATATTTTAACGGGCTCGGAATTTTCAATGGCCTGAAAATGGCACAAAACTCACGAATTGCACATTATCCTACCGAACGACTTCTCCGCTCTAGCGTTTTTGACGTTCTGTCAGGAACTCGGAGAACCCCAAAGTCACTTTTTTATAACCCGAATGTAGCAATCTTCAACAGTCATACATCAGTACTGAAAGGAACTTCGCTATTTTCCATTATCAAGTTTAACACTGTAGACCGCGCTCGTTCGCTGTCTGCGTGAGGGCAGCGCGCATAAATTTGACCCGCGCGAATGTGAAATATTATCATTTCGCCACGGTCCATGAAACACCTCTCGACAACTGTTTTTGTACTTTCTTTCTCAGTCTAGAGATGGCAATTCTACCATTTCACCAGCATCGCTTGCGATTGAAGAGCGGGGGCGTAGAAAGGCCAAGCCGACGTGCGATTGTAGAGGTACCCTTCATTACTCCTGGTCTCTGTATTTGAGGCCTCATAGAAGATGTTGAATTGCAATCGGCTACTTCAAAACGACTCACAGACTCGAATATTTCGGAAAGAAGAACGGAAGGGTGAAATGAAAATCGTTCCCCAGACACGGAAGCGCTACAACTAGCAGGGTCAAATGGACCGCTATTTCGTACTTCTACAAAGTGTAACTTACCTCATTGCAGTGCTAATTATCATTAAACATTTTGTCCGATTAGTTAGCTTGAAGGAAAACTGCGGCTACATCAATTTTAAACATTTTTTTGAAGACTGCTCTCCGACAATACCTAACACTTGGCCGGCCGCAGCCGGAAAACCGGCCCGAGTTGACTATGTCCTCGCGAACTCACACACACATTGCGCAACTCGATTCTTCAACGTTCCTGCATAAGACACTCGAACTCGGCCGCGTTCGACGGCGCGTCCCAAATGTATACGTATTGTCTGACCGAAAAACTCGTAGCCCATTATACCGAATCTCTTCAGTGACAGGCACGCTCTACATACAATGCCAAGGCATGGGTATACATGCCATAAATGAGTTACCTGAAATAACTGAAAGCCAGCATAGAGAAGATTGTGACATGACATCATGTCACACGGTCCCACGCGGCTAAATAGTGTGGTATGACATCATACCACACGTCGTCAACGTGTTAATATTGCGAACAAGCACGTTCGCGAATATATGGAAGTAACTCGTAGTGTCGCATAAATGGCAAGAGAGATGAGGAACAGCTCAACGATAGGCAGTGCGTGACAGAGGGTTGCGTTACATGTGCAAATAGTGGGGATGGATGCGCTTGTACTGGCTTAATTTATTCAGATTAAGTGTAGGATGTAATCAATCTTACTAACTAGGGGAGACTAGTGGATTCAAGCCGTATCCGGGGACGGTTCGTTTTAAAAGTACAGTCAAAAGCGTCTACTTTTGAACGGCGCCATATTGTGGGACCGCGTTAGGACGCAGAATAGACAGTCATGAACAGTGATACTTACATCAAAAGTACGATAATGGCTCCCGTGAGACTCTCGTCGGAGAAAGCGTTGATAGTTCTTGATTTACTAAAAATGCCAGATTTAACACCGGGAAGAGTACCATTTATGCCACACTGGTGATTACTCCCTAGTTTGCGCACTTCTGCGCAGGAAAAAACTGCATAAGGGGACCGAGAAGGTTAGACTAATCTATACTGTGTGTACACGGCTGCTCCCTCGTGTTGGAAAAAAAGAGAGCTTATCTTCGAATTTATGTTTCTAGCGTCTTTCTCTTTTTCCTTACAACGTCAAGAACGCTGGAGCAGAGAGGCGCTTGTGATATGGGCTCTTCGTAAATTTGAGCCATTTTCAGGCCTTTGAAAACGATGGGTCCGTCGAAGCGTTGGCCAGAATAAAAATTCACCACCTAATCAAGCTCAAAGCAGAAGTAAAAACACAATTACAACATCAACGAAAATGCCGGCCTTTCAAGCCGATAGGAATTGGAATTCATCTCTATCATGTTTTTGTGAGACTCTTGCCAATACCAGATCTGCATATTCCAACAATAACAATTTCAATAAATTTGAATTGCTATTTTAGCAATTTTTCCTTCAAAATTTCTGCAAATGTTTATAGAACACCTTTGGGAATCATGCTCTTTGAAGATTGTCAGCCATCTACGGAGCATTTGCTTCACTTTGCGGTGATTCGGAGAACAATCACGGTGCTTTGAAAAATGGCTTGAAATTTGAAGGATGATGTCACGATAAGATCCAAGGTCGAAGAAGGGAAAGCCAGGTTTGTGTGAAGTCACTAGCCGTTCAGAGGGAGCATTGGCGCTGAAGAAGGGAGGACTAACGATGGTCCTGGTTATGAATATAACGTTAATTTTGTAGCTAGAGCATCCGATTTAGAGGTGACATCAGAAATGCAAAGTTCCCCACGCAGCGAAGCCGAACCCCGAAGTCCCTGCAGTCATGCCAACCCGCCTCCATCAAGCTATCCACTTCACCACCAGTCCACTGCAATTGGTATGACACCGATGACGCCTATAAAACCTCACACTTTTTTCAACACTACCAAACCTAACACTACTTCAATTTTGAGCATTTCACGCTGTTTTCGATACTATCTACATCAGTGCTCTTCAATGGCAGCTAATCTTCTTACAAATCAGAAACCTTCAAAACGTTCCTCCGAGGCTGTAAAAACCACCTTTCCCTAATTCCTAGTTTTTCCGATCTTTTTTGGCGTTTCGCTCAGCGAAAATGAAATCACGATAATTGCAGTCCACGTCAAAGCTTCTACAGTATGCGAAAAACCGTTTTGAAAAAGCGCTCCACTTCCCGAAGGACGACCCATTTTGTGAGAATCCTTATTTGCAGATACTGTAGCCAATGCGAAAGCAAACTGTTATGGGTTTGATCAAAACTTTCAAGTTGGAAGAAACAAGACTTTTTCATTATCTCAACAAGGCACCAGAATGAAAAGGAATTTTCTGGATTTGACCAGAATTTGATATGGATTCTTGCCCTAACCAAGATGACCTCAAGATCCGGATCAGAAGTTCATGTAAGACATTGGCCGGTTTTTCTTGAGTGTGATGAATTATGATGATGGTGCATGTTGTTTGGAATGAAGAAATCAACGAGATCGAGAACTCAGTAAAGAATTGAAATATAGAAACAGCTCTTACATTAAAAAACTACGTCTCCGGTATGCATATATGGGTTTACAATCTAAATGTTTGCATCAGAGTTGATAATACTATTGGGTAAAGATTCGGTTCAAGATTCAAGTTCAGTTGTGGCAATTTTTGATAAGGACCATCTATATCTCCCTTAAATGATGCAGGCAAACGATTCTGAGCCAAGTGTTAGATATTTTAGCATACTCCTAAGAAAGAGGGGGAAAGGGGTGAGATCAGGAGAGAGAGAGCTCTAGAGCTGAAGACCTCTGACTACGTCTGTAAATTTGGATAGGATGTTAGGATGTATGGCACTTCACCTGTCCCTATCAGAAAGTCTTTTCAAATGTAATCAGGGCCTGTAATCGAAGCTAATATTCTTCAGCTCTAAAGATCAGAATGCGATGGATTATCCCTCATCCTCCCGCCACTTTTTTGGCTAAATTTTCACGGTACACAAGTGCTGCAGGTTTGCAGTCCCTACTTGAGCTTCCGCAAAAGAGGGAACGTAAATCTAGAGAGGGCTTGTAAGACACAAGGCATCGGCTTCACACCTGAGAATAACTCATTCAAAGAAAGCATGCATGCAGCATACAAAGTGCTTCAGAAAATGCTTCCAGAAAATGCGAATTTTCGAGAAATATCGACCAGATTTCACCACTGTGCAGAACCGGCACTTCTTAGAAATCCACCCGAAACTATCAACATCTCATCAACACGCGGTTGAATGTAAATAAAAAAGACACGTTAAACATTAGTGATTGAATGGTGCAGCTCTCTTCTGTTGCTCAGAAATAAGTAGTCGAAATGAAAAAAAAACAATCCTAAACCTATCATCTCCATATTGGGTTTTTCCAAATGTTGCACAAGAAACGATAGCACGATTTTCGGAAAGGCACATGCTGTAAAGCCTATTGTGGAAGTTCCTTTCTAGAACAAAGTTTCACCCCGCACTTTCCCTCAGAAGCTCTTTTAAAGATAGTGATCCGACTCTAGTTGAATTGGTTAGAAACTTGGCAAGTGTTTCACGAAGGCAGACAATGAAGAAAATCCGGCAAATGTGGAGAATTCTGAATCTCTACCAGAAAGATTACAGACGCACACCGGCTGTTTCCGAAGCTCGGGTCGCCCAACATTCCCAAATAAGGGCATACTTTTTGAAATTTGGAAAAAAGTGGTTATGATAATTAACTTACAATGTTATGAGCGACCATGGAGAACAATGCGAAATGGGGAAGGCTGCGATGGCTCGCACTCTCGAGTGCACTGTCAACAACGTCGTTGCACAACGGAGCGCTTTTTCAAGAGATTCTTCGGTCTCCCAATTGTACGATGGCTACATATATGGTAAAAGGATTGCTTTTCGGTAATGATCGATACTTTCGTGCTCCATCTACCGGCTTATAATCAAACCCTTTGGCAGTTTAACACCACCAGTCACTGCTCAAATCAATTACTGCCTCTCAAGACTGAGTCGGGGGGGGGGGGGTTGCAAGCCGGGTGACTTAAGCGAAAATCACTTTGTAACCATATTTTGTTGATAGTTTTACTCCATTTCCATCTTCAAAGCACATGCTCTTTTGAATAAGATGATACACTTGAAGGCATTGAAGTCAGGACCAAATTGGCCCACAAATACGAATACATCTCGGTGCAAAATAGGCCGGAAGAAAAAGAGAAAGGAAAACAATCTAATATCAAAAAGCTCATATTGAGGGTTCGCTCCTTTCGAAATCGCCGCACTAAGGCGATGAGAGACTATGTGCAGAGAGGAGGGCGTGAAGAGTGAGAGCGCAACAGTTGAGGGGGGACCGGGTCACAGCCGGGTAAAAAAAAGCGCAGCTGCTGCAGCCCATTTTGCAAAAACTGGCGCTGTTTCGGGTAATTTCTGTGTACAGAAATTTCACATTGAAGACTGCATTCTATCCTACAGACGGGTCCCTTCCACGAATTCTGCCCCGGTTGCGCTTTTGAAGGCACGGGTCGGAGACGGCTATCGCCACTGGCCTAGTATTTGAGCGATGGATGCCTGGCGTTGTCTCTGATAGCCTAGCCAAGGAGGTCGTGCGTGGTTGGCATAGTTCTTGGTGTGTCGTAGGGTGTCATCTAACCTTTGAGTTAGACGAGCAGAAAAACCCTCCAGGCTTAAGCTTCTTCTCAATACATGCTTACTCTCACAAAATCACATCATAACAAGAAGGCCAATCCTCAGGTCGATGGCTGGAAAGACAAAGAGAATCTAAAAGGATCTCCGGCTCTCTCTCTCTCTTGAGAACAGTGTGTAGCATAGTGCTCCAAATGAGAACAGAAGTAAAGGAAACAATCATGTGCGCCAGAATTTTGTGACTGTATCGACTGCTGCCATGTTGCCCACAGAGTCGGAAACTCGCCCAAATACACCCTTTTTCGTTTGGGAGAGGAGCTCTATTTTCAGTAATGCTCACAATTTGTTTCCTTTTTTCCCTTCATTGTTATTGCATGCCACTTCTCCACACTCACTTTCAAGCGTAAAAATACTCTAAATCAATTTTAACCCTTGCCTTTAGTCCACGCAACTCCACGCAGATACGGTATCGAGAAATCTGTGAGAGTCTTATGCAGATGAAGAAACGGAAGAAATCGCTGTGACTGCCTAAGTGTAATGCTCCTTGCTGTTTATTCATTGGCTTCCAAGATTCCTTATTTGCAGGGGGTCTACCTAAAATTTGAGTGGTAATTCAAATTTACGATCAAACTTGCTTCCTTTAGGTCTCGAGACAAGTGAAACTCCGCCGAGACAGTGAACTACCGCTGGAAGAAACATCTGTTGGCAATATCCATCCAGAATTTCACCTCTTACAGCCAATGTGCCCGCTATTCTGCCGGACCTAAGGGTTTGCAGCCTTCCGCTTGCCGTAACGGCGATCACCCTGGCATTCTCCAACCACTGTGTTTCGCCCCTCCGCGTGCCGCGTTTTCTGGTCAGCGAGTCCTCTGAAGCCGCATTTTACGGCTGCGATGCGTACAAGGAACACACCCTTCCAGGGCGCTGCCCGCGCTCACCCTGCGGGACCTTTTTCTTCAGATTTCATAAATATGCGTCTCCTAGGTGCCAAAACAAGTTATATATACATTATCAGGAAAAAACTGCACCTTCCACAGTGGACATGCTCATTAAAGCTGCCCGTTAACATGCAAGTTTAGCTAGTTTACTACCGTCCCAGATATGGTCATGATGTCAACAAATATTGGAGCATCATCAATTCCAGAATGATGGCAGATAGAATTCTGGTCCTGAAAATGTATAGCTCAACTTGGACTTTCTTTTTGATAGTCCCATGAAGCAGTTTTCTCTAGGTTTTCTACAAAGGAAGGCGCAGCTTGAACAAGATGCGCACGAAATACCACACTGACGACAGTTCGTTGTTTGTGTGGTCTTGCCATGCTCCTGTTTAATTTTCCAGATTGTCATTACTCCTCTGACTCCCGAACTCTTCTGCTGTCATTGGATATTTACTGTTTTCGTATAAAACACTGTCGCTTAAAGTTTTGGAAAATAAACGGTGTCAAGGTACAAATGCGCAAAACAAGCCCTCATCTGGTAAAAAGTCCTGGCCGCAATGCGCATTGTCATACTGCCGTTTTAATGTGCGATTTACGAGCGGCCAAGAGAAACCCTCTACTTTCTTCAAAATAGCTTTGAATTGTTCGGAAAAGTCAGCCATAAATGAACTGAATATACAATTAAAACGCGGTGCACCCCTGCTAAAAAAAAAACTCGATATGCTATTCTTTCGAGAAGGGTTGATGAGTGCCAAGACCGACTTCTCATTTTTCAACCTTGACTTTAGCTTGAAGTCGATTTCATTATCCGACGGTGTAGACGGTGAGGAGCTGTGTTGGCAACGGGATTGCAATGCAAAAGGGCTAAAAATAAACTGTTGTATTGAACCGCCAGCTTTCATTCAAAGACAGTAAACATGATAGAGCGGCTCATAATCAGAGAACTACAGTAGTGGCCAGAAATTTATAAACAGACGGTTTTTTGAGAATTTCTTCTCGCAAAATCGCTGAATCGTCTCCAAATTTGAAACAGTTATTAATAAGTGTTTTCTGACCCACACAAAAAATATCAACCTTCAGCTCAAATTTGGGTTTTGAAAATTTTAGATTTTTCGAAATTAATGAAGGCAGGTGAAAGATCACTTGATCCGTTTATTTGATTTAAATAATGTATAACCCAACAGAACAGTCAAGTAAACAGTCACTAACATTAAGCAAGTCTAGCACATTGCCCAGAAATCTCTAAAGTCTTGGATGCATAAACTGGGTTTAAGCGGGGGTCAATTAATGAACTCGCCCTGGGGTCTCTCTCTGTAGGCGCTTATTTTCGTGACTCTTTCATTGACATGCGACTTTGTAGCTCCTCCCTTAGTGGTTCCGTAATGTTTGGCTCAGGAGTCTGGCCTGGCTGGCTCATTAAAAGCACTCCATGCTGTCGAAACCACTCCTGCATGTGAGAGGCACGATGCTTTGAGTCGCTGCTCTGCCGTCAGACAAAGTCAGGTCGTGCGGCAGGAATACCTACGGATGCATAACACCTTCCAAAACATGACAGCAAACGTCTGCCTTCATCGCTACCTCAGTCGTGTAGCGTGGTCCCACTTTTTTCCAAGGCAACCTTATCAAGCCTCCGCCAAGTTTCACAATTGGCAGCTGATTCTTTGGATCAAAACGTTCCCTCTCGTGGTGCCGTACATTACTAGTATCCTTGCTGTCATGCATCAGTAATATGTTTTTGTCATTCCAGATGACCTTAGAAACCTGTATCAACCTTCGTTTCAGGCTTAGTCAATCACATTCTACTCCCACCCACTTCACAGCGAGCGCTCTTCTTAGACTTTGAGAACTAAGGAATACGTAGTATAGACTTAGATTCTAGAAGATGTTATGTATATCCGTAGACATGGCTGCCACATGACCTAACTTTGTCTGTCAGCAGGAGCAGCGACTCAAAGGGCATCGTGCGACTTTCCGCAATGCAGGATGCGTTTCGTACAGCCATGGTGCCTTTCAATGAGCAGCCCTGAAACTGCCCCGCTTCCAAGCACGGGATGTCTGAAGTGCGTGTTGCAATCGTCTCATTAGCGTTTCGATTTTCATTCTTGAGAGCAATTTTGCATTTCTTCGCTCTTGTAGCCCTTATATACTCTTCAGGCACACGGTAGAATTAGGCGCCAATTGGCCAATTCAGCATCAAACCCGGAAGTTAGCCTAAAGTCAGTGGGCAGAACTGTGGTCTCAGTTTCCAAGATTTCAAGGATTATTCAGGCTTTATCCTAAACACGGTATCATTCAAGAACTCTGCTTTCGAATTTGATTATCATCACTTTTCGTAGTCGCTGTCTTTTAAGCCTCCAGGAATGGAGAATACTGGTTACAAAGAAAATATATAGATTGGAGTGAAAACTTTGAACTTAAAAAGGTTGAGGAGGAGGAGAGGAAAGCAATATCCAGCAAGAATTAAGAAAGAATAAGAAATCACAACAACGAAATATGGAGAACAAAACTGCAACCTGAACCTTCTGACAATTATGCGACAGGTCAAAGGCGGCGAAAAAGCAAGAGACTAAGTCTTGGTGCTATTTTGGTGCCGTATTTCTTATGTATCAAAGAACAATACTATATTCGTGATCAGGCCACCCATTCATCCCGTCCCTATACGCAAAGTTTCACAGAAAATTAACACGTTGACGACAACGCGCGTTTTGGCTTCTTTGGCCGCGTGGGACCGGCGCGATTTTGCGAGCGCCGCCGCCTCAGGTCCTTCAGGCGAATTTTGCGTGGTAAATGCATAAAACATGATTGATACAAAGTTAGATTAGTCTTTTTCAGTGCGTAGAAGCGCCCCAGAGATATAGTAGTGAAAATTTGGATCGAAAGTCGGATGAAATAATAGTGAAAAAGCAAAATTTGTCAGAATAAGCCGCAATGAACGTGAAAAGCAATTCTGCAATCGAAGCACATATCTTGTCATCTTTGAGGTTCCGTATTGACTTACACTACCCTTTAAATATTCACATTCATGAAAAGAAAATGTAAACAAAAATCAACTGGGTTGACGATTTCGTTCGGTTCAGAAAACCTCCCCTAATTTGAAGCACACGTGACCACTCTAAGAGCGACTATGTTTCTATCTATGTTAAGGTTTTCTCTATGGAATGAATACAAGAAGCCTAAAAATGAATCACGTGTGCGAGAAAAAAATGAATGCACTGGGTGCAGGACACATACGTCCCGCGTTGTCCGTTGTGGCCTGCAAAGTGCGGGACGTATGTGTCCTGCGCTGTCGTCAACGTGTTAACATAGTGAGCGGATAGATAAGGCTCGACTCATACAGATTAATGATGTTTTCGTTGCCCTATTATTTGGGACGATATCTGAAACTTATCAACCATTTAGCGTTTAAGTCGTGTTCATCCAAGTCAAGCCCTTCAAAGAAATGCAATTAGAAAATTGCATTAGAAATTGCAGGCCTATCCTACCTAACCTAATCTATTTAGTGTGCACAAAGATCATGTAACGGTTCCTGACGGTTTGTGCAATGTTTCTGCTCAGCCAGAAAAAGTGCTGCTAATTCGATTTCGACCTCTTGGTTGAATATTTGAGAATTCGATGTAATGAGCTATTTTCCAAAGAAAGACAGCTGGGATAGAAATTCGATAGAAAATATCTTTTGCTTCACCGATCCTCATCGAATTGATTGATTGACCTTTCATTACTCTTTTTATGATACTCACTTTTGTTCGTGTCAAAGATACGACAAAAACTCCCATACCAGTGAGATTCTGATCATTCCAACTCTTCATCCTGGCGGTATTGCATGGCCCTTGGTAACGGAAATCACAACTTTTCCAGTACCCTGATTAGCTGCGGCTATACTCAGCGTTTAGTAGCATCGGATCAAAGTAGCTGGGTGAAGCCCTGAAAAGATCACATTATAAATACCCGCTCAACTGAAACACCAGAATATCAGCTATATTACCTACTATGTATTCGCGAATTACCACTTCCGCGCGAATCCGAGTAATCGGTGATATTTAGTTCTTTCGCGGTCCCATCCATCCCTTAAAACGCTGGCCATGAAGGTAGCATTACCGAGGGATTAGGCACCTTGGACCTGAGATTGAAATCTCTGACTGGCAAAAACTTTCGGTGGGCTCCAGTTTTTCGATTGTGTGGAGCTATTGCAAGGTATGACTCGCTTCGAGTCCGACGTTTATCGAATCTGGTTTTTACGCAGTTTATCTTGTCGGCAGGGTATCAGCTGTGAGTCAACGCGGATCGCGTTGTTTGCTCTTCCCGTAGCTCGTATTTGTGAAATTAGCCACTCCCACCGTTGACCAAAACAAGTTCAATCCTCACATTTAGGCAGAATAATATCGCTCTTATTGTGCTGATTTCAATGACTACAAATACAGACAAAGCCGCCCAAAAACTTGCCCCTGGAGGTATAATGAAGCTCAATAAAATAAGGCACACACCGATATTCCAATGTGATCATTCCCGTAGAAGAAAAATTGTCACAACAGGAGCGATTCTATTCAATAGCTTGTGGAAGGATTTAAAAGGAATCTTCCACGGAAAGACTGCTATCCTTTCCTTGTGTACAGGTGTTGGGCATGGTCATTGAAGACCATATGCAAAGTTCAGAGCGAAAATGATGAAACCCCCAAGAGAAACAGCCCTTGGAAAGACCCATCTGTGGGACCGGATTGGACCAGTAGGCGGGACCGGAAGTGCTTCTGTGACGAAGTGCGTGGCAGGTGCGGATCCACGTGTCAGTTTATGGGAAGGGCCCAACATGAATCCAGTTCACGTTCACGCTTTTGACACGTTTGCACGTGTTGACTCCACGCCGCTAACAGTTGTGGAAGTTTTACAGCGGGAATTCAAAATTTTTCAGTCGAACTGGTTACCATAATTATTATCAAAACCATCGCCTATGTTCCGTTCTTTTTGCTATCTTCATGAGCAAGGAGCCTAAGGTATCGTTTTTTAGTAGGAATGAAAGCGA